AGGGAATCCTTGGAGACAGCTATTCCGGGTGTTGGCAGGCAGGCCAGTTGTCATCTGGTATGGATGGGAATCCTGCAGCTGGAGAGACTGACGGGTAGGTCTTGTCTCGGGGGCACGGTGAGTGGCTGGTTTAGGCAGCATCTGCTTCAGAGGGCTGGATGCATCTAGATAGCAGAGCTTGTAGGTATAGGCAAGTGCAGCTACCAGGCGACGGAGTGCCAGGCTAGGGAGCCAAGTACCTGCTCCGATGATGTGGAGGGCCCTTCGCTGGATCTGGTCCAGCTTTTTAAGATGGGACGAGGGTGAGCCCATCCACACTAAGGGGCAATACTCGAGTGTGGGTCGCACAAAGCCGTTGTAGACGCGTTGGCGGCTCTCGGCGTCCAGAATGGGAGACGCTCGCTTCAGGAAGCCAATCCGCTGGTTAGCACGGGAAGCTAGGGAGCGGAGGTGGAAGGAGTAGCTCAGGGTGTCGTCAAAGGTGACTCCCAGGAGTTTCAGCCGACTCTCTTCACTGACCGGTGTGCCGTCAAATGTTGCTCGAGGGAGCTCCCAGGGCTGGCGATGGTGGCCTATAGACATAGCCTGCGTTTTGGAGGGCTCAAATTTGATCCTCCACTTATGTCCCCAACGGGAAAGCGCATCAATGCCCTGCTGGAGGAGCTCGGAGCCACAGTCAATGTCAGCTCTTGATGTGAGGCAGTGGAAGAGAGTGGTGTCGTCAGCGTAGGCTGCTAGCTCCATACCTGGTGGGAGGTGGTCCTCGCCATCATTGGTGTAGAGGATGAACAGGGTGGGGCCAAGGATACTGCCCTGCGGCACGCCAGCTTTGGTCGGGTACGGACTGGAAAGTTCACCTCCAACTGCAACCCTCAAGTGACGATCAGTCAGGTAATCCCTCAGCCAAGCGAGAAGTGGACCAGTTACACCATAGCATTGTGCCTTGTGCAAAACGCCTACATGAGAGACGCGGTCGAATGCGCCAGCCACATCAACTGCAATGACTCGAACTACACCACCTCTGGCTGCAACGCGACTCCATTGGTAGTTGAGTAGCGTGAGTATGTCCTGGGTGCCGAGTTGGCTGCGGAAGCCATACTGACTTTTCGATAAGATGTTGTGTGCCTCCAGGAACTGTCGGATTGAGTGGTTAATAATGGCCTCCATGACTTTTGACAGAATAGAGAGGAGGGAGATCGGGCGGTAGTTCTTAACATCAGACTTGGATTTTTTCTTGTGCACCGGCACAACCATTGCCGTCTTCCACATTGTAGGTTGCCGACCTTGGTGGAAGGCCTGCGAAAAGAGCCGCGACACTGGTGCAGCCAGCTCTTTGCTGCATTGCCGGAGTACACGCCCGGGGATGCCATCTGGACCCGTGGCTTTGGCGGGGTGGAGTTGCCTCAGCTTCCGCTCAACCGTGCTTGGCCGAAAGTGGACATCGCGGAGTTGGGCTTGAGATCGGGGGCGGACTGGAGGGAGGCTGTTGGCTTGCAAGTCGTTGTCACCAAGACTGCACTTTGCGGAGAAATACTGCCCGAATGCTTCGGCCTTTTCGCTGCAGGTGGTGTGCTCAGTTCCGTTCGACGCACGCAGAACAGGTATGTCTGCAGAGCGGTGTCCTTGCCCACCTGCTTGCTTGACGGTTGTCCACCATTGTCGGCTGGAAAGGGCACCTTCTCTTATCTTTCGGCGGATACTGGTAGTGTGCGCTTGCTTGGCTCTGTGCAGACAGTTTGTTGCTTCACCTGTTGCCATAGAGTAGGCCAGCCGCAGGTGTGCATTGTTGGGCGAAGATCGGTGACGTCGCCAGGCACGTTGCTTCCTGTCAACAGCTTCCTGGCACTCAGGTGACCACCAGGCTGGGTCTCCCTGGCGTAGCTTCAGGGTTTTGGATGGAATGAATATCTGCATGCCCTCTTTGATCTTCTGTGTGAGTTTCACACAAGAGACGTCAATGCTGTTGTCATCAGTCAACACCCAGTTTGTGGACCGAAAGAAAGCCCGTAGCCGAGGCCAGTCAGCATGCTGGTAGCGCCACACGGTTCGCTTACTGGGACGGTCACAGGAGGGGGCAACTTCAAAGTCAGTTACCACAACTGCGTGGTCAGATTTCCCTAGAGGTGGATGGAGAGTTGAGATGACGCTTCCAGGGATATCTGACATTATGAGGTCGAGGATATTATTGCCACGTGTTGGCTCATGGACATGCTGATCGAGGCAATGGTGGTAACACAGATCTTCAGCAGCTTCACCAGCAGGGGAAGTTCTACTGCTGCCTAGCCATTCCCGGTTGTGTACATTTAGGTCACCTGCAACGATGATATTCTGGCAGCATTGCCTAGCATCATCTATGCCAGAGCTGATGCTGTTTAGGGCAGAGATGTCTCCATCAGCGGATGAACCTGAGCGATACACAGCACATACTCCAATGGATGGGCCAGCTGCTGTCTTGAGGCGAACCCACAGGATTTCATTTCCACCAGTATCAATACAGTGTGTGTGTGTGTGTGTGTGTGTGTGTGTGTGTGTGTGTGTGTGTGTGTGTGTGTGTGTGTGTGTGTGTGTGTGTGTGTGTGTGTGAGTGTGTCATGTGTGTGTATATCTGTTCCCATTTGCACCTTTCCTTCAAACCAATGAATATGTGTACGTATACACATGTGTGCGGGCGTGTGTGTGTGTGTGTGTGTGTGTGTGTGTGTGTGTGTGTGTGTGTGTGTGTGCGTGCCAACTAGTTCGGTTGGTGGGTACACTTATGCCTGATTGCGTTGGGTCTGTTGCCAACGGGCTCGGCTGCTTGAAGGTGTAATGTTGTACCTGCCACCTTTGTTAGTTCCAGGCTTCATATACTTTCTATTTGAAGTATACATACCTGTTAACCATGAACTGCTTCTGGCTAGATTAACTCTTGTGTAATCAATGGTGCAAGTGAAGCTTATATCAGATCCACTCTGATTTAGCCACCCACACTAGTAGGAAGTATTACCTTCACTGGGGCGGGGGTAACTGCAGTTGGATCCCAGGACGGATACCCTGATGCCGTCAATCCTTTTTCTGCACCTTGTCCTCACCCACTTACTGAGGTGTGGTGAGCCCATAAGTGGGATCATTTTCAAGTCCACCCAGAGTTTAGGGGATTTCAGGGGTGTCGGCCGTTGGGCGGTTCAATAGCCAATTGAGTCATCTTTCCAAGATTCCTTTAGAGTCTCTCTCCCCTCTCCCGGGGAGACCCACGTGATCAGTTTTGGCAGTGAGCAACAAGTACAAGTACAAGTGTGTGTGCGTGCGTGTGTGTAATGTCTCTGCCGAGCCAGAGTATCGCTGTGCATGCGGGAAGACCTGTCGCCGCCCCGGCAACCTCAAGCGCCACCAACCTTTCTGCAGGTTGCGGCCAAATTAGTCCTTTTGCTATCATTGCCTTTGGCAATGATAGCAAATTCAAGGTTTTTAAAAAGGTGTGTATGTGTGTATGTGTACTTGGTCCGTTTCATCGCAATTGTCGCTTATCTATCGCAACTAAGAACAGGAGTTTTTTTACCGCTCTGTACAATTTCCAATACGCATAGTGAAGAACCATGATACAGAATTCTTGTCCGCCACAAGAAAAAAATTCAGCGATGGAATCTGATGAAGCAAGTCGAAGAAAGGAAGCAAAGTTACAAAAATGTACAAAAGAAAACAGTGACGGAGCGCGTTCTTGCACTCACGCTTTAGTTTATCCAACTCTGGCTCTGTATTACTCGAGCTGACGTCACTTGAGCTGACATTCGCTGGTGCGTATAGCTGCTGGCGTAGAGTATCTCTTGCTTTCTCTGCTTGGCGTATGGCAGCGATGGAGAAGGAACAGTCGTGGCTGTCACGTTGGCACTTGGAGGAACGTGGGCAGCGTGACCCGTGTGTCACCACTGTGTGTTTCAACACTGTTTTTGAATCAGGCACACATCCCTCTCCAGACAGCTGTCATACGCTCTGCTGGATACATTGACCCTGACTCTTGTTCTGCCGCTGCCAGGTCGGACAAAGTCTTCTTTGCCACCATCTCGCCATCAGTTTGCAGGCTTGCAAAGAATGCCAGGTCGTTGCAGTTCAAAGGTGGCGACTGAGCTGGCTGGCCAGGCCGTGACTGTCACGCTCTCCAGGTCAGGATGTCGATTTCCCCTGCTACAGTTCCGGTCTTTGAGCTGCGCTTGGCTTTTCGCTGCAGTGAATGTGTGCATTCAATGCAGTGCATTCACTGCAGCGAAAAGTTCCCCACTTTCCCATCAAAAGCGTACGAATCACGAACGTTAGTCGCGATGGTTATCTTCTTTCTGGTCTCCTTTGATCTTTCCATCACAACCTCCCAAACGAATGTGAATTAGATATCGAGATCGGACTGGGTTTTACCTGTCAAAAGGTGCGTGGGAGATAAGCGACAATTGCGATGAAACGGACCAAGTATGTGTGTATGTGTGTGTGTGTGTATGTGTGTGTGTGTGTATGTGTGTGTGTGTGTGTGTGTGTATGTGTGTGTGTGTGTGTGTGTATATGTGTGTGTGTGTGTGTGTGTGTGTGTGTGTGTGTGTGTGTGTATGTGTGTGTGTGTGTGTGTGTGTGTGTGTGTATATGTGTGTGTGTGTGTGTGTGTGTGTGTGTGTATGTGTGTGTGTGTGTGTGTGTGTGTGCGTATGTGTGTGTATGTGTGTGTGTGTGTGTGTGTATGTGTGTGTATGTGTGTGTGTGTGTGTGTGTGTGTGTGTGTGTGTGTGTGTGTGTGTGTGTGCATATGTGTGTGTATGTGTGTGTGTGTGTATGTGTGTGTGTGCGTATGTGTGTGTATGTGTGTGTGTGTGTGTGTGTGTGTGTGTATGTGCACGCAGGTTTGTAAGTATTGCGATGTTGGTGGAGAGAGCAACGGCACCCATGTGTCAGTTGTCTGCCATAGTTATGAACTTATGATCTCATCTCGTAGTCATTGAGCTGGAACATTACCATGATTTCCTTTTGGTTGATGTGCACAGTTGAGGATAAAGACCTTTACGCGGCCGGTGTTGACTGGACCGGTGCCCTAGCCACACTGAACGTTGCCCACCAATTCTACACCTGGACCCGCTACGTGCAGTCGTACAGCCGCGACGCCGCCGCCAAGAGCGCATCGTTCACTTACCCGCGCGACCTGCCGGGCATCACGTCCTGGGCCACGCGCGCCAACGCCACCGCCGCCTGGACCGGACACCAGTACTTTCTTAGTGGCAAACTGGATGCACTGGACAGGTAGGCGTCCACTGATATAGCGCCTGAATGCAATATCTTTTCAGTAAAACTCAAGGGAAGAAGACGCTTCAGGCTCCTCACAATCAACATCCCCAAAGCTCTTCCACTAGTATTTTATTCCCTTCCCATCAGGTGAAACACAGGCAAAAAACCCAGACTAAGCTCAATAAACTCAGTATTGATGTGCGAACAGCAGCGCAACGAAGGGTAGCCAAACAAATCCAATTCAAACTTAGGCCGCTGTCTGGTGGGTCGTCAACTAATCGTTGCCTCTGTCACTTGGCTGTCTATTGTTGTCGCAGGACATTACATTCTTGTTCGGTTCTTCACACATTCTTGACCTTTTCGTCAGTGTTTTTTATGGTCATGAGGTTATATATTCTATCGTGTTGTTTTGGCTACTCTTCTTTGCACTGTTGTTATCGCATCACTACTGTTTAAAAATTCATTGGGCTTGGTCTGCTTCTAGTTGCCTATATTCCTGGTGAGAAGGCAAGGAAAGTACT